GGGGTGGGGCTGGCTGCTAAAGCAAGACCTGAGGAGTGGGAGGACACAGCAGAGAGGCCCGCCTTCGCTGGAAGGAAGAGGGCCTTGTAGGAATGGAGGCGAGGGTGCGTGGGCACGCACATGTTGGGAGACAGTTCTCAGTGGGTTTGTCGCATTTCTGCACATGTTGTGAGCAGAGGCACTAACTGCCCTTCTTCCAGACGATCTGCTCAAGAACGTTAGTAGAGCAAGCAGCCTTGGGAGATAAAGACGGTTCCTCCCTCTGGAGCAGAGGGCAGAGTTTCTTACTGTCCAGTATAATAAAGATAATGTCTCCCTCCAGGGGAAAGGCAGATTTGTTTTTAGCCCATGATAAAAGATTGTGGTTCCCTTAGTTCAGGGTTCCTCCGTTGTGCTGCAAACCCATTGTGTGTGCAGCACCCACCTGGGCCTCTATGCCTCACCCTCATGGGGCTTGAGGGTAAGATGTGACACAAACATGCCTGTGTTGCTGGCTGTGCCACGAGTAATAAAGTCCTTTGTCTCTGACCCAGGAGTCTCATGTCTACTGCCAGCATCCGTGGAACTGTGGCAGGCTCTAACCTGTTACCTTGAAATTAGGGTAAAATCTCAGACCCTCCACAGTTCTTGACAGAAGATGCCTTTGCATTTAGGGGCCCGGGAAGCTGAGGCTCACTCCTGATGGTCTCATTTTCTCATAGATATGGCAGGGAAAAGAGGAGGCTTGAGGAAGGAGGTGAAATTCTAGACTCCCTGTTGAGCAGCATGGAAGCTAGAGCTGACCAAGGACAAGGAAACGGCTGATGTGAAGAACCCGGGTGAGGCCAAATGTGTGGCGGTACCATCTGCCCGGACTGAGACACCGCCTGCGGCACTCAGCCAGGGAGTGGGAAGCGTGGGGGAGGGGACATTGCACGGGCACATCCCAGCATGAATCCAGATGGGAGTTTTGCTGGGCACAGAGCCAGGAACACAAAAGAATCTGGGTTTCGAATGAGAGAGTAACTCAGATGATGACCCCTGGGGTCCCGCCTGGATAGGAGAGAAAGCTGCTGAGAGAGGGTGATAGTCTCAGAGAAAGGGAGGCTGAAGATGGCAAAGCGAGAACTCCGGGTGGTCGGATGCACAGGGGGCTTTGGTCTCAGGAGGTACTGCTAGTTGAGGAATCAGAGGTGGACCCAGACCATTAGCACAGATGGGGTCAACTCCCACACAGGAAGAGAGCACCCTCCGCCTGACCCCTGAGGCTGGAGTCCAGGCCGGCAGAGGCTGGGATGTGGTGGGACCAAGATTGTAGGTCTGAAGATAAAAAAGCTGGAGAGATTACTAGTTAGTGATTCCCTTTTTCTTTTCTTTTTTTGTCCTTTTTGAGACCGGTCGCACTGCGCTCAGCCAGTGAGCGCACCGGCCATCCCTATATAGGATCCCGTGATTCCCTTTTTCTCTGTGAAGTAGAAAGTGAGGCATTAAGGTAGGAGGGGAATTTATCTGCCCAGAAAGAGGGCCTCAGGTTTTATTAACCACTGAGGAAATGTGAGAAGGTACTAATCAAGGAATAAGCAACACCTACAAAGATTAACAACTAAAAACCATAACGATCGAAGTGAAAAGCTTGATCCCAGACTGGCTGAGCGCCAAAAAACAAAAAAATGACCTGAAAGGTTTGAAACCATAAATTGCAAGTAGTGCTTACCAGCGGGGTAGCAAGGTGTATCTCACTGTGCTCTGCAGAGTAAAGGAAAGGGCTGGCCC